ATAAGCATTAATTGTCCTGTAATTAAACTCTAATGGTCAGCAGATTCGTACTTGTACACGTACATGTATTCTCAGAGTACATGCAGAAGAATATTTTGGGGACATAAGATTATTAAATTGAAAATCTTTTTTTTTTTTTCTGGATACCCAATCAATGTGGGGACACTGTTCTTATTTGGAGTCCAGATAACAAACACTTAAATTTCATACAAATTAACAAATTCAAATGAAAATAAACATTATCGTGGGAACTTGTGGGAATTTAACTTTTAAGACCTACAATGTCACACCAAGTATATTGTTCCTTCCTAATACTCTGTTCAAATAAATAGCCTGAATAAAACAATTAGTAGAGACATTGAAACCATGGGAAGGACTTCCTCAGTCCTAGAAAGAGATGCCTGTATGCTACAGTATCACCTGTAAACCAGGACATTGCAACAACTACATATTAATTTTTATCGTTAAAAATTCACTATTTCATTATCGATTGACATTCCTCTCATATGATAATTTTCAGCTGGGGTCACCAACTCTGACAATGAATTCAATACAAGGCCTACATTTTGAGATTTGTGAACAATGCATACATTGCTTCATGTTGACTAATGCTAGGCTCTCTCCCTTTGTCAACCTAGAACTGTTCATCCTTAGGCTCTAATATTATAGTACTTTCATTATAATTATATAATTATTACAGATTTGATTGCAATGATTGAATATTTAGATAACAGGGGAGCTACTGTGCAACTTTAAAATTATGAGAGAAAAAATAAACTTGCGTCTTATCCGAACAGGAAATATTTCCTTTTCTTTATTGATTTCTTAATGTTCTTATGCTTATAAGCTAAAAAAGAATTACTGTAGCTTACAGTAGATAACAGGAATATAAGTCACAATGAAATATATTCTAATGAAAGGATGGTTTGTGTAAATACCAATAAATTTTATTGCCACTGAAAAGTACCTAACAGATGAATAATAATAGTATTTAAGCAACTTCTTTGTGTAAGAACCAGTTTTAAAGTTCAGGAAAACCTACTTGTTTTTAGGTCTCTTTGGAATGCAATACTTTATTTGATCATTAGAGATCAGATAGATGTAATCTATTCTTAATTTTTTACAGTAATTGCCTGGGAGGTTTATCAACCTTTATGACAAACGGTATGCAGGATTACTTTAAAACACAACACTAAAAACAACTTGTAAAATTCCTATGAAATATTGTGAGTGCATGAAGGAGAATTGTTACAGTTTATCAGAAAGAGGTTAGATGCACTATACAATACTAAAAGTAATAAAACATACATTGGGTGTCAACTTCTCACTTTCCTATTATAACCATTGGTCAATATTACAACAATAAACAGAAAAGTGATATTGATGAGCAAGACAAAAGAAGCTGTATCAAAAACCGACGGACAATGACACCGCCGCTTCTGGATCACTTGCAAAACAAAATGGCCATCATCACTTATTAAATAGTAAATGGCCGGCTCTCATGGAACAATGGCGGAAAATGTGTTGTGATGAGGAACGTCGCCGCCATCGTGTGGTATTCAAGTGGATTTTTATCTTGTTTGATAAATGCATTAAATACTAACTGTAGAACCAGGGCACCTTGCATAACTGATAACTACTGTTTAATCAAACAGTAGAGCAGAACACTCATCTAGTTAAATAATCAATATGAATTCATCCAAATTATTATAGAATATTATTAATTATATTTATTTCAAGATATGTTTACTATGTTATACAGTACTGTATATTTTAATAACAAATTATCTAAATCATTTTTTACAGGTTCAATATTTATTGTTTATTGTACTGTAAAGCATTATAAGTCTACAGTATTATAAATTTTTCACAAATTCAAAATATTTATCTTAAATTTTAACAAACTATGGCTTTAAAGTTATTATTAGCTTCTGTAACTGTTGCAATATGAATTCATCCAAAATATTATAAAATATTATTAATTATATGTATTTTAAGACATTATTATGCTATACAGTACTGCATATTTTAATAACAAATTAACTAAATCATTTTTTACAGACCTTCAGTATTTATTGTTTATTGTACTGTAAAGCATTATAAGTCTACAGTATTTAATTAAATTATTCACAAATTCAAAATATTTATCTCAAATTTTAATAAACTATGGCTTTAAAGTTATTAATTTGCAGCTTCTGTAACTGCTGCTAAGCAGATTAATATTATTTTTATATAATACATTGTGTGCCAAATGCTAGATACAGTAAACATCAACCTTTAGTGTACTGATTTCAAACAATTTATTTAGTTTAAAGTAAACATTTGAGAAATTAAGTACTGTGGCTACTGCATAATCCAAAGGACGAGGATTTACTATCTCAACCGTGAAATAATAAGTAGTAACAAACAACCTAAGTTATAGGACTGTACTAATTAAAAGAAGCAATTTTAATCTGTTTAAAAGTTCAATCTTTTGAAGGTGTTACAGAATCACAGCTGCGACAGAGTCGCAAGCCGCTGCAACTGTCTCCATAAACCAATCATGCGGCGACATTCGCGTGGCACGGTGAAGCTTTCTTCAGAAGTGATCGCACATTAAGAAAAGAAATTCTCTCCTTGGAAAAATTTGAAGAACTTCTAGCGACAACGTTTGTTTTGTTAAACTACAGCGTATAATTACATAATTTGAGCCTGACTGAACAAGTAGGAAGCACCTGGTTGGACCGCCCTACAAAGCTTTATTATTACTGTACCTGAGAAACACCTCTCGACAGGTAAACCAGCTGCTGTCTACTGTATGGTACTGTAGGTGCTATCATAAAGAAGTACTTTTTTCTTTGAATTGGTTTAGATGGGCAAACAACATAAAAACTTAGTAAAATAATCACATCAATGTATGGGAACCAAAATGATGGGAATGGTTCAATTCAAATTAAAGAAACATTTATTTTATTAATGAATTTTGTTTATATTAATTTAGTTAATTAAATTTTATGGAAAGCTTGCTTCAATGTAGATCCTGCTTTTGGTTGAATCTAAAACAAACTGTTAATTTTTAATCATGGTTTATGAGAAATGCTGATGTACAGTACCAAATTATAATTTGGTCTCACAGAATCTTTAATATTTACGGTAATGGATGAAATATTTCGTGAGTATATTAAAAAAACATTGGTTTGACAGGTATGAACTTCAATAATAATAGCATTGCTTATATTACAGTTGATGAAAGTACAAAATACTGTTAAGCAACAAACAATCTTATTAATAAAAGGCCAAATCACACATTACTGTACCGTAAATCATACTGTTCAAAGAATAGAGTACGGTATGAGATATTGAACATCTGTAGGAAATCTTGCTTCTCAATTTACTGCGACATTCAATCACAAAATAATATTTTCTTTCGCCACATAACAAGAAAGAATCTACATACAGTAGATGTACAGTACAATAGCGCTATAGTAAAGTATACGGATCAAATTTCAGATTTCAATTGGTTTTATTCCAGCTTTTTCTACGGCACAGTATTTTTTTTTATAGAAAAATCAATGTGTTATTTTTGTGGATTGTTTGGTAGAATTTGCTTATCATTCCACTTCAGTAGGTATGAATAGGGATGCAATGGTTGTATTGGGCTTATTGCTACGCTCCAAGCTAATGCGCTAATTTCAAGTCTTTGTCGCTAATTTTTCTATTTTTGTTTAATTTCAACCACTCTGCACTGCTTCTAAAACTATATACTTCCATAATGTACTGTACAATACAGTATTTCAGACTGAATTTTCTAGTTTATTTAACAACATTATTTTTACTGTGTTAATTATAAATGTCACAAATTTTTCTAGACTTGTTTAATTTCAAACATTTTGTGCTGATTCTAAAAAATATATAATTGCATGTAATGAACTATATTTCAAATTGAATTATTCAGTTTTAATAATGATGTTATTTTTATAAACTGCAGCAAGATTCTGTCATTGCAATTACAGGATTATTGAGGTTTTAAACGGTTCTAAAATAACACACAGTAAGAATGCACAATAGTCTGGTAATTGCTAAAATCTGCAAACCTCGAAAAATCACACTGTAGACCCCAATTAAACAAATTGATTGTAATAATTCACATATAGACTTGCAGTCTATCTTAAAATCTTTATCTCATTGGTTCACTGAATTCGGTCAATGATCTTTCACACAGAAATCTGGGGCAGATTTGTAAAATGAACTCAACCCCATAGAAGATATTCTATACAAAAGTTCTCATTATCTATCTAAATTACTCAAAATATAACAGTGTAACTCCTAATACATAATGCGTGCGTGACAAGGGTTGTAAAAATTTCTATCAAAATATTCAATACCATCAATTGTTAATTGAATCTCAGTGAGGCAGGACTTTAGAGAGATGTGCTGCTAAATTTTCCTATTCAAAAACATAACTATAGAATATATATCTTCTTATTATTCATTCATTGTTATAGTTTATGTAATGAGGTCATTGACAGTTAAATATGCGACCAAGTTTGAATATAATAACTATTTACCCTTTTACAGATATTGGTATAATAATCATCATAAATTCAAACAATAACAATGAATAATAAAGTTCTCATTTATATTGTTAGCCTACTGTACATATAGTGCAAGTGCATTTGTAAGTACAGTACTATGTCTTCTGACTCACCCCATAGAAGAGTGCGTAGATTTTAAATTCAAATTCAAAATCAAATGTTCCACAAATCTTGAGAGCATTACCCTGCCTCTATCACAAGTATTAAGTGTACATTTTTGGTAACTAATAATAAAATTGCTGATTTGTCCAGTACTGCAGGATGTACTGCAATGTAGCCCTACAACCTGTACAGTAAGTGTACAGGTACAGTACATAAATTATTTTGATGAATTTAAATTACAGTTCTCATTTCGCAAACCCCAGTAGATAAAAAGCATTGACCAAATGCAGAAAGCATATGATTTTTATTAAAAATGAAACCAACCTGAGTATTCCTTGTACGTGGTGTGCTGGCATCAACATCCACAGCATACACGGTCATTGTGTAGACATCATTTCCGTTCTCATGATCCAATGGCGCTGAAGTACGAATAATTCCATTGGTACTTGATATAACAAAATCTCGTTCACGGCTTGAAGATCCTGTTGAAACTGCAGTGATGAAGTACTGTATGTTAGCTGATCTAGCATCCGCGTACATAGCTGAAACCGTCAAGACTGCGGTGTCATTCACAGCATTCTCGGCTATTGAAGCACTGTAAGAATTTGATGTAAAACTTGGGCCCGAGTTTTCATTGTCTCCAATAATAACAGTTAAAGCTGAATGAGTTTGACGCTGTTCGGTGCCATTATCTTTTGCTGTTACCAAAAGTGCGTACTTTGGAGTTGACAGATTTATACTGCGAATCAAGGTAATGACACCAGATTGCGGGTTGACATCAAAGAAATCATTAGCATTAAGTTTGTATGTCACTTCTCCATTTATACCTTCATCTTTGTCAATGGCACTGACTGTTGTCACAGTGGCACCAACAGACGCCGTTTCAGAAATGACAGCAGCACTTTGAGATACAAAAACTGGGTTGTTGTCATTCTTATCAGTCACAATGATTGTTACATTCTTGGTTGCCATCCTCCTGTTGCTCTCTGGCTGCGCTTGGTCAGTTGCTTGGACAGTTAAATGAAACAAGCCGTTGTAGTCCAGTAAATCCTCACGATCTATTTCCCCAGCTATATACAGAATGCCACTGAAAGGATGTATTCCAAATTTTCTTCCCTCTGGAATCTGACCGACTATGGAATATTGAAGTTCACCATTTATGTCTGAGTCTGGATCCATTGCTGTCACAGCTACGAGTTCTGTGTTAATCTCAGTATTTTCGCTCACAGAAAGCACAACAGAGTTAGAAGGAAAAGCTGGTGGATTGTCATTATAATCTCGAACGTAAATGACCAAGGTAATAGTGTTCATATTAGGAGATGTGCCGCCGTCACTTGCTGTTATATTCAACTTGTATATTGACTGAGTTTCAAAATCTAGAGATTTCGTAAGGAATAATGACCCTGTGTTTGGTTCAATAGTAAATACATTTTGAACGTTTCCACTAGTGATTTGGTATGAAATGACACCATTCAAATCAATATCAATATCATTTGCTGTTACAGAAGTTAACTCTTTACCAACTGGGAAGCTTTCAACAACTTCTATCTCTACATTAGATGATACAAATACAGGAATATTATCATTACCATCCAAGACAGATATATCAACTGTTGCTGTTGCACTTTTTGGTGGAGTTCCAGCGTCATGTGCTGCAACTAATAAGGAGTAGTTATCAGTAAATTCACGATCTAAGTTACCGCTTAAAATAATCTGGCCGGACACATGATTAATGGAAAACCTTCGCTGTTCATTTCCCGAGACAATCGTGTAAGTGAGGTATGAATTATCCCCACAGTCAGCATCTTTTGCACTGACTTGCACCACTGATGTATTATTTGGTGCTAATTCAGAAATTGAGACTTCATAAATTTGACGGGAGAACTCCGGAGTATTGTCATTGATGTCAACAACATTTACAGTCACAGAAGTTTGATCTTGAAGAGGAAGTTCTCCAGAATCTGTGGAAATGATGTCAAACATGATCTGGTTGCTCCTTGTCCTTTTATAGAAACTTTCACGATCAAACATCACCTTACTGGTAATCAATCCGGTAATAGGATCAATTGCAAATTCTGTTTGGTTGTTGACGAAACTATAAGTGATTTCAGCGTTAAGTCCAATATCACGGTCTTTTGACCTTACTTGTCCAAGTACAAATCCAGGTGGTAGGTTTTCTTCCAAATAGAAAACATAAGTATTATTCTCAAATAATGGCCTATTGTCATTTTCATCAAGAATCTGTACTGTTAGTGTGGTTTCACTGCTTCTCTGAGGAACACCACCATCAAAGGCATATATAGTGAGAGTGTATCTCTCTGTCTGTTCTCTATCAAGATATGATTTTACATAAACATTACCATCTGGAAAAATTCCAAATTTGTCATCAATGTTACCATCTGATATAACATAAGTAATTTCACCATTCTCTCCTTCATCACCATCTGTTGCAGAAACAGATATAAACCTTGTATTTACAGGTATAGCCTCCGAGATTGAATGTCCAAAATGACTACTCAGGAAGACAGGAGCATGGTTGTTAACATCACGAATAGAAATACTGACATTAAGAATGCTGGACTGATGAGGTGTACCAAAATCTATTGCAAGTATTTGAATGAAAAAATCAGTAGACTCAGAATTCTGCAAAGTTTTTCTGAGAGTTACAATTCCAGAGTTTGGATCAATGGCAAATGTCATATCTGGGTTTCTGACAAGCTCGTAAGCAATTTTAGCATTTGGTCCACTATCAGCATCTACAGCTTGTGCATGGTAAACTTCATGTCCTATTTCCCAGTTTTCAACTACGTTGGCAGAATCTGTAAGACGTGGAAACAATGGTGAATTATCATTCAAATCAAGTATTGTGACATTGACAACAGTACGACCTATCATCGAGCCACCACTGGCAAATACAGTTAATTGGTAAAAAGACTGAGCTTCACGATCAACATCTCTCACAACATTTATTTGGCCGGATACTTCATTAATCTGGAAGACTCCATTGGGATCCCCAGAAAAAATAGTGTAAGTGATGTCAGTGTTAAGATCTGGTGTTGAAGCATGAACAGTTCCAATTGATGAGGCAACTGGTACATTTTCAAATATTACAAACTGGTAATCATTTTGACTAAATATTGGTGGGCTATCCCTCTCATCAATAACAGAAATTTGGACAATTGCGGGTGCAACTGCTTCACGATTACCCTCATCCGTAGCAGTAACTGTTAATATATAAGATGATCTCAATTCTCGATCAAGCGCAACAGTAGTTGTTACCCAACCAGTTTCAGAATCAATTTGAAACTTCCCCTGTGAATCATCTTGAGTAATAGAATATTGGATTCTCTCCGATTCTCCAGAATCCGCATCAGATGCAATAACTTGGACAACAAATGTGCCAGATGGCTTATTTTCCAAAATATCTGCAAAATAATTTTCCGGGTAAAAAACTGGGTTGTTATCATTTTCATCCAGAACATCAACGTTTACAATTGCCATCGACATCAGTGATGGGCTACCACTGTCTTGCGCAATGACCTCTAGTTCATATCTGTTGATTGTCTCACGATCAAGGATGGTTGCAGTAGAAATTAATCCAAAGTTGGAATCGATATTAAAAACACCTGGGAATCTTCTTACGGTTTCTTGTGAAAATGAGTATGTTACAACACCTTTATCACCTTCATCATTATCACTTGCTGATACTGTGATTAGCTGGTAACCTGACATTGAGTTCTCTGGTACAGAAGCATTGTAAATGGTTTCTGTAAAAGAGGGTACTTCATCATTTTCATCTAAGATGGTGATGTTCAGAAGAGTACTAGTTGTAAACACTACAATACCTTGATCTGAGGCTGATATGTTCAGTGTAACAGCACTTGTAGTTTCACGGTCAATAGTCTTTTTAGTGAGAACCAAACCAGAATTTTCATCGATCTCAAACCAGTCCAATTCATTTCCACCAATGATTTCGTACATGATATCGGCATTAGCACCTGAATCTTCATCAGTTGCTGTGACACTCTGCACAAAGCTTCCAATTGGCACAAGCTCACTAAGGTTGGCAGCATAAAAAGGTTTCTGGAACTCAGGAGAGTGGTCATTTTGATCATTGACATTGATTATCAAATTAGCAAAAGACAATCTAGGAGGTGAACCCAAATCTGATGCTTGAAAGGTGATATTATAGCGTGGATGTCTTTCTCTATCAATGGAACCATTAATCTTAAGTAGATAAAGTGATCCGTCTTGATTAAGCCTAAAAATTTTTAGTTTGAAATGGTGAAGATCATTTCCAGAAAATATGTTCAACGTAGTTAAACCATTCAGACCAGTGTCTTTATCAGAGACTGTGGCTACAGTGATGGTCTTTTCAATCGGGACACCTTCCTCAATAGTTATGGAATTCTCCAAAGCTGGAGGGCTAAAGTTAACAGTTGGCGCATGGTTATTCTGATCAACTAATCTGATACTAACATATGCGCGTCCAACTAGCCTTGGATGTCCGTTATCCGACGCCTCTACAGTTAAAGTGTACGAAGAGGAAACATCGTAGTTGACCTCTTCTAACACACTTATAACACCTGTCTGGGGGTCAATTGTAAAGTACCGTGTATCAAACGAGTCACTGGATTCTTTAAGGGAGTAAGTGATTGCAGCATTAGATCCAATATCGGCATCTGTTGCACGAACCTGGATAACTGTTGTGCCGACCAACACAGATTCATTTAGGCTTACATCATATGCACTGGTTTCAAATATTGGTTCGTTATCGTTAGCATCAGTGACCGTTATATTAAGAAGCATATATCCATATTTGATTGGAGTTCCTCCATCCTGCGCTGAGATGTTGAGTTGATAAGAATCTTGAGTCTCCCGGTCTAATGCACTAATAAGTTCTAAATGCAAGAAAGTCATATCACCATCTGGATTTGTGGTGATTATTAATGAAAAGACACCAACAGCATTGCTACTAACGACAGCATAATCTGCTGTCACGTCATTTTGTTTCTCATCGTTATCTACAGCAGTATCGAGGATAACTTGTGTTCCAATACTTGCTGATTCTGAGAATGGAATATCCAGAACTGGTTGTGGAAACACTGGTGCATTATCGTTAATATCTAAAACTGTTATTTGGACTTCAATAGGATAAGTTGGTGCACTAGACAATACGACTAAATTAAAAACATCAGATGGTAAAATGTCTCTATCAATTACGGTACGAGTTCTCAAAGTTCCTGAATCACCATCAATATCAAAATATGGAGATTCCTCACTTAATGAATAAGTGAAACCTGTTTTCGTTGCTATTGTACCAATGACAGTTTGTGCAGGTAATCCCTCGAAAACAGTAAACGTCTCGTATTCTGCCGCCCGTGGATCTGTTTGTGTAGAGGCAAGTGTAAATAGAAGATAAAAAACGAGAAAAATAGGCCTCCAATGAGGAGAAGAAGTCCACAAATTCCTCATCGTAGCGGTAGACAGTTTACACAAACAATTTTCTCTACCCATTCTAAATATAAATAAGTTTGTTCAGTACATTAGCTTCAAAAAGGTAGCCGCCAAGCATAGGCCGCAATGATGGGTCAATAATCACAAGCCCAGCGTCGACGCCGACGAAACCATCGCTATTGTCAACAAACGTTTCATGCCTACCGACTTCACAGGATCATGACAACTGTCAGGCTAAAATCATATTCTCCTCATTAAACACAAAACACGCTTGTCCTACAGGAGTAATACCTCCTTTTAGTTCAGCATTTGCAATAAAATCCACTCTTCTGTTCTTATCTGTAAAACAAATCCAAAAGTACATGTTACACTTCGGTAGCGGCTTGCCTATTTTCACAGCCTGTGTACGCTCCACAATCAACAAATGAGCCCAAGCACCGCTGTACCTTGCCTTACCACCGCAGCTTTGTAAAGTAGGCGGAGCTTAATAATGACGTCACATTCAGGCGAAACTTCCACCAGGGTCAAAACGAACGAATGAAGGGACGTAATTTCCCCTACTGTCAATTTCCGTGAAAATTGAATCATGAATTAATTAATTAATATGCAAGTGATTTAATATCTTTTAGAATAATATAGGCCTAATATTATAATAATATGTATGTGTGTCCCCGCCCATAGGATGTCCCGGAATTGTCATAAATTCAGGGGAAGATCAATTTAAAATTAGAAGAAATTAGTTTTATTAAAAATATAAAAACGGTCATGCAGTAACTTGAGTCATTAGACAGTATTACGTGAATACTTAATTCACTGATGCGCTACTAAACATTAATTCATTCTTTGTTTAAGTAGTTCGGCCGGGTGCTCAAATAATGTAGGCCCTATATTGAAACTCAAATTGTATGTGGCTTTATTAAAAGTACATCTTATTGTCAACAAACGCTCCTTGAAATTGATTTAAAACAGTCTAAAATGCTCAGATCCTCAGGGCTCCGCCTCTGGACCCCGGACCCTGCCCCCTCCCCAAGTCACGCATTTCAAATCTCTAAATCTCTAAATCCCCACTCTCCCTGCCTCAGCTCCACCACCCACATTGGACACGATACGTCGGATCGGATCAAAAAGAAGCCAGAGAATTATTATAAAATTATATCTAGCTTGAAACAGAAGTATATTCACACTGAGGAGTCGGAATCATTCTGCCTGAATGAATACTTAGCCGGCCGCAATTTCCCATAAATAACCGCTGGTGGCGCTGTATTACAAAGACACTTGATCACCCCCTAGTTCCGTCGCCTCTGGATCACCAACAGAGAGAAATTCGCCTCTGTCATCAACAGAGAGAAATTCGCAAGTTGGGCCGCATGTATTCTGGGCTTGCTCGACTCATTGATAGGAAAATTGCTAGTATAGGCTTAAATAAATTTTATTTGTATGTTGAGATGACATAATTAATAAATTAAGTAAAAAAGGAATGAAACATGTTTATTTGACACAAAATTTTCTCAACTGTCGATGTGTAGGCCTATTGTAAGTAGGTCTAACTTTTTCATGAAATGCTGAATAAAAAAAGAAGCCTGTTGTATACCTCTCACTAGGGAAGGAGGTATATGAAAATGGATTTGAGAGCAAGATAATTCATAAATATATCTCAGATTAAATTAATGAGTAAGGCTATTAATATTTAATACGATACGATAACACTTTATTGCATGTTGAAATACAAATTGAAGTTTAACATTAAAAAATACATGGTATAATTATATACAATACAACTCATATGCAATCAAGAAACAACGAACAAGGGGGTAAAGTGGGGGAAAACTAACAACTAGGGACAGGGACAGACATGATTTAATTGATTAATTTAAGTAAATTAATTAATAATTGTTCCTTCTTCAAATGATCAGTAAAACAAAGTAAACAAAGTAGGTCTAAAGATCAGAAACAAAGTAGGTCTAAAGAGGTAAAAAAGAAGACAAAACCGATACAGTAGAGACCCGCGTATACAGACAATAAAAATGACCGTTCCTTATATTTGGTATTTTAGGAATTTTGCCTAAAATCAGGGTCTATATTGGCCCACAATAAAAACTGATTATATTTTTTTTTTCTGAAACTTAGAGTTACTGTGATCCTTTTAAATCAATCAATATAATATAATTATTATCAAACAAGAAGGATGTGGGCTCCGGGGCACTTGCCCCGGTTACCCAGCGAAAACAAGATAAAAAAAATAATAAAGAAATAAAATTATTAAAAGTATACATTCATCCAGTATCATTCATGTGTTTTACCAATGAGAATTGTAAATATAGCTGACCGTTTATCGATGAGGAAAGCTGGTAATTATATCGCTTCTAATACTCTAGATTTTGTTTACAATGAATGAAATAGTAAATTCTTTATATTACGTGATTAATTTATAATTATAAAAGGCTTTAATCCTGGACATCATCAGTATACATACAAGTTAGAAAATACAAATAGACCTGACCCCAGACCCCCAACCAATGGGCCCGGGCAGCGAGTGCCCATGGGCCCTGAAAACAACCTAATAAAGGCTGTTATAAGTCGAAAGCGCCGGGTGCACTTCCTGAGCTCTGATTGGTTGCGCATTATTTCGCTTCGCAAAAACTCCGATAGAAACATAGAGCTATTATATCTCTATGGCTAGAAATGTGAATGCACATGCGCGCGAATAAATTCGCTTAGTGAAAACAGACTAAAGGCCTGTTTATACATCAACGATAACGATAAAAAAGCTGAAAAGCAATTGTTCATATAGAGAATAAAAGAAATAAGAGAAGTTTTTACACTAGAACGATTGATCAGAATATGCAATAACAACATGTTTTGATAAATCAAATCAGATGACGTCATAATCATGGAAAACATTAAAATCGTAGTAGTAGCAACGATTTTATCGTTTTTCCCTGATTATGAAGTCATCTGATTTGATTTGTTAAAATATTTTGTTATCGTATACACGATAAATCGCTATCGAATCGTCCTAATGTATTCGCATTTTGCTTCGAAAAAATGCACAACCCATCAGAGCTCAGGGAGCGAATAGACGCTTTTAATTCGCGCGAATAAAGCAGCGTGGAAAACAGGCTTTATGGAGTTTATCATAGAGATATTATAGTGACTTTATAGTATAATTCCATATGGGTTTATCTTTGCAGATAGAGCGATCTATCGTTTAACAGTTTGTTAGGCATTTACTATGACGAGCCAAATTGTCATTTAATCGTAAATAGATACATCTATTAATTCTAAGATATCTCTATTTACGATTACATGACAACTCGGCTCGCCATAATTTACAGTACTTTATTCTTTCTATAATGAAGCGTACTGTACTGTCAGACCTCAGAACTAACAGCAAGCAAGTGTGCACAGCGAGGCATTACCAGGCATTTGCGAGGTAAAATACCTGTCTCTTATACACATCTAGATGTGTATAAGAGACAGGATTGAGGAAAAACTGAAAAGTACTCAAGCCTCACTTTTGGGGAATAAAGAACATTGCAGGACTGCTGTAGAAGACCATTTTGGTTCTCTACAGAAACTCCTTGACCTGTCTCTTATACACATCTAACCAGAATTCGTGAGTAGAGGTACTTACGTATTTCAAAATACCAAAATGTGGGTGGCCTTCTGAAAATTATTTATCTAAATTACTAATTCTTAATATCTCATTATTTTTTTATTTCGCTATGGAGAGCATGAAACTGTATTTTTATTCATAATAGGCCTATCGTCCCTGATATCATACAATATAATACCGTTTGAAACAGACGCCGGGGAGAAAAGGATAGAAGAGTTCGATATCTGGTTCGACATGACAAAGTTTAGTAAATTTTGGTCCGGTCGCTGCAGCCGTTCAATCAGACCTACAACAGCACTAGCTTCATATCGTCATACCATTACCACTATGCAATTCCCCATCTCTAAATATTTTCAAAAACCGTCTTTTTTAAACATTTTTAATTCTTTTTCATCACTGAACAGCACATTAAGACTTGGTTTATGCACTATAGCAAACTTATACAATATTTAATTACATATTATTTAATGCTATTATAATAGATTCCTTGGAAATACGTAATTTATGTGTATTATTCTCTATTTTTAAGAAAATATACTTTGGAAATATGGAGACTGTGGATGGTCCGGATACGTTCGCTGGAATAAATAAAAGTGATTTGAAATGCGCGCTGTGTTCCAAACCTTACAATAAACCAAAGTACCTCGACTGCCTGCACTACTTTTGTCTTAAATGCCTCAAAAACTGGGTTAAAAAGAATAACGGAGTGTTGAAATGTCCCACTTGTCATGCAACGCATGAAGTTCCAGAAGGAGGTGTCCAAAAGTTTCCAACGAATGGCGTGATGCGTGGGTTGGTCGATCACATGACGTCGTTGGGGAAAGCCGACCCCCAGCTCTGCTCCAACTGTACAAATGAAGCAGGACATTATTGTACGGATTGCGATTACTTCTATTGTGAGGCATGCACAAATCTCCACATGCACGCCAAACAAACGAGCATGCACACGGTTATTACTCTAGTTGAATATAAAAATCTTGGTCCATTCAAGCAACTGGCGACAAAGCAACTAAACTGCAAAGATCACAACATGAATTTAAAACTATACTGTGAGAAATGTAAGAAGTCTGTCTGTTTTCAATGCGCTACTGTAGAACACAAAAGCCAGGAGCATGTGATCAAAGAAGGCACTCAGGCATTCAAGGAGTTTATCACAAAAGCGTCAGAGCAACTCACTATGTCCGAAGCAAAGGAATCAAATTTAGGTGAAATTGAGGAAAAACTGAAAAGTACTCAAGCCTCACTTTTGGGGAATAAAGAACATTGCAGGACTGCTGTAGAAGACCACTTTGGTTCTCTACAGAAACTCCTTGACGCACAGAAGCAAGAGAGGTTGAGAGAACTTGATGAAATATTCGATAAAGACATTGAGTTAAAAAAAGATCAGTTGGAAGAAATTGATTCAACTAAAATTCAATTGGGATCAACTCGTGAATTAATAAAAATATTGATGAAAAGTCCCAACATATCATTAACTTTGATGAATAGTGACATGATATCGAGCAGAATTGACACTCTTCTGGCATTCCAGATGAACGCGGATTCAACGCATTCTACCTGGAAATTCTTTCCTGTCAACACAGTTCAAGAACAGTTACAACACGGTCATATCGGGAAAATCAAGTATATATCACCGGCATTATCGACAATTGACAATGTCGAAGACGTCCGCATTTTTGTTGGCGAAAAGCTCTCCGTCACACTGACAACAAAAGACAATGACGGAGAAGTATGTTATGATGAACCCACTAAAGTGACAGCAAAGATGACGTCAACATCTGGTGAAGAAAACATTTTGGAAGTAACAGATAACAAAAATGCAAGTTATGAAGTTCATGGAACCTGTACTGCAGCGGGAGAATGGATGTTATCAGTATTAATTGACTCGCAGTGCATTAGAGGATCGCCTTGGAAAATGAATGTCGTCAAAAGTGGGTTTCAGAGTGTGACAGACCTGAGAGATTTTTGCAATCATGGCGAGCTCCACAACATTAACGTTATCGACAAGGCAATATTTGCTTGCTTCAGTAGAAACAGAAATATTGCAAAAATTTGTAAAGGCGGGATTCAACTAATTGATTTGGGATATTTGCGAGGAGCAAAAGTGCTTAGTTTATGTGGTGGGATCTCGGGAGAAATAGTTCTTGCGTGTCATGATTCAAATAAGGGACGTATTTTAGTCTGCAAACAAGATGGCACATTCGTCAAAGAATTTGACAACCTTACAATTGGCCGCGTTCAAGGTATGATGGTTAATAAAGACGATCAGATTTATATTCCTGATAATGATAGGAATTGTGTGTTGAAGGTGTCGTTGTCAGGAGAACTCCTCGCGAAGATCCCTTCTGAATCTCGCTCGGACGTTCTTAAGTTTCCTAAAGGAGTTGCGATTATGGAAGATGGCTCCTTACTTGTATGTTCTTATTGGAATAACCAGGTTGTCATGTTTGATAAAAACGGTGTTTTTGTAAAGGTTTTTGTTGACACCGGGGAGGATATTGATGGTAAGGTATACTCACCATATTCGGTGGCGGTAGACAAACAGGGAAACGTTGTAGTTGGATCTCTCCAACGACTGCAACTCTTTAGCAAAGATGGACAATTCATCAAGCGGATCGACGACAACTCGCATGTACTGCATTGTCCTGGAAGCATAATATGCAGACGAAGACAGGTGATAATTGCAGACAAGGGAAATGCAAGTGTGTGTGTTTACAACTATTAGAATCTTTTTCAATTATTCTTTCTTTTTTAGGCTGTCATAATAAGTTATAAGTTTCTTTCACCACTCCTTCCTACTACCTTGACGTTCTTTCCTTCAAGTCCCCAACCTTTTTTCCTTTTTTTTTGTCTTTATTTCATTTTGCGTACCTCTTAAAGCTGGTTTTCCACTGGGCGAATTTATTCGCGCGAATCAAAGCGTCGGTTCACTTCCTGAGCTCTGATTGGAATCTGAATGCTAATTAACCGACGCTTTCGATTCGCGCGAATAAATTCGCCTAGTGGAAAACAGGCTTAAAGCTACGTTCACATCAAGCCCGGATTCCTGTCAGGAATCTGGAGAAAAAATCGTGAAAAATGTGTTCAGTGGTAAAGAATAGGACCGTTCACATGAAATTTGTACGATTTTCAATCCGGACTCCGGATCTGGACCGATGGATCTAGAGCCATTTGTATTTTTTTTTCTTGGACCAATCAGCAACAAGCTTGCTTGGTTCGAACCAATCGAACGCAGCGTTCAAAAAACGTAGCAACTCACGGGCTTGATGTGAACGTAGCATTAGTCTGGCACCACTGCGCCGGCCGATCGACTAGACTACAGTAGTCAATCTGGTACATATGCACGCTTGACGAAACAACTTCCTCAGATGATTGTCGGTGTCATTTCTGAGAGGATTGTTGTTAAAAGCGATCCGTGGCATCCTTTGTAGGTCTGAGTCCGCCGACCGTCACGTTTCCCAGTCTTCAACGCTTGTAAAATAAGTAGCATACGATGTTCCCATTTAGCTAACAATTTTACGTTTTTTTTGGTTTTTTTTTTGTAAAAAGCCATAGTTAATTAATTAAATTATTATAGAACTAAAATAAGTGAAAATTCATATTTATAAAACGCTGCTAAAACTAATAATTTTCTAGATTTTTTTTCTTTTTCTATAGAACATCCACTGTGTAAATAGAGCTATGCCTGTTGAGTTCACTTTTTTCAAAGCGCCAACAAACAATCTTTAATGTTTTAACACACAGCTAAACCTCTAACTAGAGACCGAACCCCTGAGACCACCCTAAATCGTCTGGTCCCAAATGTGGTCTCATACGATTCAGCGATACACTGCTTTTATTTTTTACAGTTCATAGACAGATTTCAAGACTATCGATACATTTCATCTCTCTAGTAGTAAAGTGTTTACTTAAAGCTGATTGAATGTTTTATAATGTTTTCCTTCAAACTAATGTTTTTGGTGCTCAAAAATACAACTGTATTTCTGCTCAATATTTTCCGTAAGATTCCGTTAATGATGCTGGAATTTCGAAAAAAAAAATAGTCATGCTGGAATTGAGAAAAAAGAAAACCAGGTAATTTCATGGTTGGTGTGTTACTGAAAGTGAAATAAATCGAATCCAATGTAATTTCTATATTTGTATCGAACTGATGTGCGATAAAACTACGAAAATAAATATGCAAATACTGTAGGCCTACAATAGTTTAAATAGTATGAATGTCACTCCATAAATTGACAAGGCCATTTTTTCAACGTTTCACTTTCATTTAAGCATCATCAGGAATAATACATAATAAAAGATTCATACTATTTGTACTATGACATTCATACTTGTACTATGACATTCATACTTGTACTATGACATTCATACTATTTGTACTATGACATTCATACTATTTGTACTATGACATTCATACTATTTGTACTATGACATTCATACTATTTGTACTATGACATTCATACTATTTGTACTATGACATTCATACAATTTGTACTATGACATTCATACTATTTGTACTATGACATTCATACTATTTGTACTTAAACTTAGTGCACATCTTAATGGTACAATAGTCTACTTTTGTGACCACGAATAGTAGTTAATGATTTTTCAACTGAACACCATTATCACCAGTACAGTATGTATAATCATATTCTTTATAGGCTAAACCATAATATTATACGCTAATAAACTACACACTAGGTGAAGAACTAATACGTAGGTGTCTTATTTTATTAGCCTGTAAAACCAATTTAGTAATTAATAGATTTCGATATAGGCTTATTGGAAGTGTTTGATTGAACAAACTGAGCCTAAATCCATAGTTAATTCGACCACAAAGCAGATAATTTGGTCGCCGAAGGCCGAATTAATATTGATCCCTTCGCCCGTTTAGAGAATTAGTCAATCGACCAATTAATCAATCGTTCCATTAATATTTGGTGCCATTCCAACAGTTTTTTAATTTGACTGGAAAACGCCGAATTCACTATACGTTACAAAACGGTATAAGATAACAAAGGCTACTGTAATTAAATTTTAAGTAATTTGTAACTAATTGAATTATTTAAGTTTTTTTTAAAATTAATATAATACTTTTAGTATTAATAATTAAACACTATAATTAATTTTTTATTACTTCACTGTATTATTAATTACCGTATTAATTTTAAAATGTTGTGAATTTCTACACCTAGGCATATAGGCCTATGCCTATAATGTAACCATCATGCTAAACAATATTTTGTTGTGTTTGGGAGGTTATTGACCACCGCTCTGTACCCCCTCACCCCACTTCTTTTTTACCACTAGTACTAGACACATTCCAGCGCCCCGAGGGTTAGTTTTCCTGTCTCCTGCCTACCACCGGTATCACCAAGTCGAACCGCACTCAGGGGTAAGTATCTCTTCTGCGTAACATATCCTTCATCTACTCTGACTACGTTGTCATTTCTGTCGCAGTTACACGAATACGTGGTATCGGAACATGAACCTAAGTTTGAAGAATCAATTATTGGATTTTTTTCAGTAATAACTATGGAGATTTCGCAACCTTACGAAAACGATAACGAAGAAGTCATCATCATTATCGTCATTTGTGCCTAAACGTTCTCGACAATTCATATGCGAGCTGAATGATCGTTGATTCTTGTAAGGGCATGGGTGGCCTACTTTGTGAAAGATATGCTACTGTAAGGGATGGATTGATTAAACATTTGATGACGTAACTATATTCGTTATTGTTATGTTGCGAACCTCCGTAATGAATTAAAATACATGTTCACCATCGAGATGCTATCCTCGATGTCTTGTCGTCATCAACATTATCATCATCATTATTATCATCATCCTAATTTAAATCGCCTTCATCATATGGTCGCCATCATCAAACATCATCATTATATTGTCGTCAGATCGTCATCATCTTATCATTATTATCATTATCGTCGTCACCACTTTCATCATCATCATAATCATTATTATCATCTCTTCATCTTACTTACTTAGCACGGCCTCACCTATGTATAATTATAATCATCATCTGATTTTGACTTTTGTGCGACTACAACATGACGTCACTACTTACCAGTTGCCCCGCATGCGCACATACTGGAGTTGATTGGGGCTCCTGCCCAGTTGTACATTGGTTGCCCATCACGAGACACTAGCCAACCGTAAGGAATATTAAGTCGTAGGTTTCGATGCATAAGTACGGAGTTTTTACATTCGTACTGAAATAAAAAGGGAATTGATGTCTTACAACAACAATCTACAACAACAAAGCAACAACAAATGCAATATATATATA